TGTTAGTTTCGCGCAGAGCCGATAAAACTCACTCGAAGATCGACCAGGTACACGCAACCTTCTCGGCCGGCAAAGGCAGCCAAGTGCTCCTTGGGAGAGATGATGCACTTTCGAAGGACCTCATCCTTCGTGGTGCCGATCAGAGCGGCAGGACGCGTCTCCACGCCGGTCGCAAGGTCATATACCTGTGCAGATAAACAAAAAATAGATATGAAATTCATTATATATTGATAGTGGCTAAAAAAGACATTCTGACGGTTCTAAAAGGTGTTGTGAACGGAGGATTAAATATAATGGCCATTTGATTTCAAAACTGTGGATAGACCGGGAACTGTTAGGGAGGTTGGCAGATTTGTTCACTTGAGTTGACCCAATTGTGAAAAATTCGCGGCCTTGGAGGGAATCGAACCCATTCAGCATGGAAAGCTTTTGTGCAGCCAACGCTCTACCACTGAGCTATGAGGCTCGCCGTGAGCCATGAATTTAATCACACTCGGATCTATTTTACCCGCCAAACTTACTACAGTAGTCGACGGTTATTAAGCCACGGTTAATAGGCCCAGCCGCTTATTAAGCCCAATTTGGTCTGGGCCCGAGGTGGGCTTAATAGCCGGTGACTACTGTACTCGTATGGAATCCGCCAGTACGGAACAGCAGACTGACTGCTCAGAGAGGATTTCCTAAGTAATCACCTAGAATACACCAGAATGACTATTAGGCTCACTTAATTGTTGGGGGGTCGGCAAATTTGCTTGGGCATTCAGCTTGCTGTTCCGTAACGGTGGGTTCCATACGAGCACTGAGTTTGGCGGATGAAATCGATCCAATTTGGATTAAATTCACGGCTCACGGTGAGACTCGTAGCTCAATGGTAGACCGTTGGTTGCGCAAAAGCCTTCCCTGCTGTGTGGGTTCGACTCCCATCAAGGCCGCGAATTTTTCACAATTGGGTGAATGGAAACCGGGAACTGTTTGGTTGTTTAGCGACTGGACAGTGAAGTGCCAGGAAAGGTGCTGGTTGGTCAGAAAAACGAGCGCTTTTAGCGTGTGTGTGACGTCTGCTGGAACCTATAAGCTTCAATCAGACCTTTCGATGGCAACAAAATTGATGGAGATAAATGAGCGTGAAACGAAGTGAGAATGCATTGTTAGTATAGATTTGATGGCGGAACAATTGTGCGTCGATTTGGAGTTTAGCGTGTCGAATTTAACTATAGCTGCATCCCTGCCTAAGAGAAGGCACACCTCGAGATTAGTGGTAGTCAACTTGAAGCAGTAGACAGTTTCAAATACCTCGGAGCGAGGTTGCTGCCGAACGGGCCGAGTAAGGCTGGATTGCCCCAGAATCGATGCAGCTCGACGAGTTTCCTTCAGTCTTAGAAAGTGCCTAT